CCCAGGTTAAGAATATGGAGCTTATCACAATCCCTTCCTGGGAAGCAGGCCTTCCCAGGAAATGTAGGATTCTGAACCTGCATGAAGCTCTCTTGTGCAAAGTTAATCCTAGACACAAGAGGGACATCCAACAGAAAGCAAAAATTCTCAGAAGGACTGTGGCATGTAAGCAGAACTACCTGTTACAGGCAAATGTGAGTAAATAGTTTTACTTTGTCCCATAATAGCACTGAAGGAGCAGAAAGAGTAATAAATTCCTGCCTGCTTCCTCGATCTTCTCTTTCAAATGGGAATAAAAATGGGAAGCTCACAGCTCCCAGATGTGCTTTCTGGGTCCCGCAGAAGACTTCTTAGAAAATAAAAATGACGAGTAGCTGCAGGACATTGCTTTATTGAAAACGAACTGGCATGCTCAGAGTAAAGAGAAAATGAGGCAGTAATTTAGGCTTATTAGGGGGAGGGGTCAAAAATGTTGCAGGGAACAAATGTACCACATTTGCTTTCCTGCAACCTTCGCATAAATGGGTGTTTGTGGGCTAGCTCATCCCCTCCCTAGCAGCCATTTTATGAGAACGCCCATAATGCACTTTCAAAATTCCAGATGCCTAGCAGCTCCAAATAATCAAGGACCCCTGCTTGTTGGCAATGGCGAGAATCCTCTCCCTTTGCCTCCCCTCAAGAAGTAACCCTTCACTAAGGCAGATTTGACTATCTGCTTCCAGCGATTTGCATATGGTTTCTAACCTATCAAGCCCAAAGAGGCAGTAATCAAATTAAAAAGGTACTGTAATGAGATATTATAGGCGGTAGCATATTAAGGGTATTTCTTTAATATTTTTTTTAAAAATAGATCATAGTGGAGTCTGTAAGATTTCATGCTCCAATCAAACAGCCTCTGCTTTGGCTGTTCCTACTACAATATTCAGAGGGATTGGGTCTTCCCCCAATTCTTCATCAACTTTCCATGCCGCTGCAGCTTTTCATGTCACTGTGTACTCTCATTAACTCTTGTGTCTATTCAAATCAGGAAATCTACTATTTGAATGTCCATCTAATTTTTAAAAAAAAACAGTTTGATTCAATCTGCACATTCAAATCAAGATGTCAAATCAGGTCAGTTTCATTTGGATTTCCAAAGTGTGTGTGGGCCGGGGGGGGGGGGGGGGGGACACACACAAGTTTCTCAAATGCACTAAAATGTCCATATCATCTAAGCTGATTGGAAGGCATCTAAACTTCTAAAATCTCAAAATATCAATTCAGCTTAGATATGTCCTTCACATTGAACAGGCATACAGTTGTATGTTTGCGACTGGAGCTGATATTGGTACTAATAGAACTAGAAAATCTATTCCTGGATAAAATCTACCTACCAGTGTGTTGTTGCTAAGAGTTTGGTTTGATGGCCCATAAACAATCAGTCAATCTATGCTGCAGCCAAGAATGCAGAATGGGTAGGAATGTGGCAAAGGATTTATATTAGACTGAAATCAAGAATGAAGAAGCAGGAATGTTTAGAAGCCAACTTGGCCAATGCTGAGGTTCAGTGACAGGTCCAAATTTGCAACTTGAGAACTGTTGTTCTGGATGACTGGGATCCCTTCAGTTAATGCCAAATCTGTTCCCTTCCCCAACCTTTTGGAGTATAGGCAAGATTACTCCAGTAGGGATTGTGGCAGCTGTGGTCCAAAATATTTAAAAAGTACCAGACTGCCCATCTGTATTAAAACATTCCAGCAAAGCTGACTCAAGTCCAAATTGTGTCCTTTCTAATTCCACATTTGCTGTACATTTCGAACGTCCCTGCTGGCCTTTATCTATATATCCATTTCTCCACAAATATGAATCCAGTCAAAGTCAGGTATTTGCTCGCCCCACAGCCGACATTTATAACTTAAACTAATCTAATCAAGCTTTGCATTACAGCACTTATCGCAATCACTTGATTTGTTCATGGGAAGACTGTACTTCACCCTTTTCTACATTCCCTATATGTACAGCTTTCCCTTATTTTTTTTTCTTTAGGCAAATTACTTCTCTATTTCACAGAAGGTTGTTGCTGGTCATATTGCTCTAAGTCCAGTTTGAGCAACGCTTAATAGTAAACACATTCTCAGTATTGGCCAGAGCTCCAAAGGGCCTGCCTTTTGCTTGGTCTACTCACATCCGGGACTTCAAATACCCTAATCCTTTCAAACATAAAGGGTCACGTGCATATTACCCTGCATTGCAACAAGCTTTTCAACAAGGGTTCATATCCATATTCCTAAGCCTCCTTTCAAGCAAAATCAGAAACAGAAAGCAGCACAAGATCAAAGTCTTGGAATATAAAGGGAGTTACTATTGACCTGACAAAGGTCTAATTGCTGGTTTTATTGGCAACCTTTCTTTGATTGCTTCAGTTTTTAAAACTCAATTTAATGGTTTCAGTGAATCGCTACATTTGTTTTCGGAGCTATCTCAACAAAGGTTCATACAAAACAGAAGCCCATCATCTCTCCCTCAAAAGCTGATTGTTAACAAGGGAAGTCACAAAATGCACCACTACAAATCTATAAGCAGACCTATATCTACCTCGGAACCTCAGTGGAAACAACATTGTAGATTTCCAAGATAGAGAAATGCTTCTCAATCAAAATTATTTTAATAGGATTTTAAAGTAAAAGAACTTTTTTATCATTATCTTCTTTCTTATATATTTGGAGGCTGTGGAGAAAACCTTATTATATTAATCCATGTTAAGTATCAGTTAAAAAAAACTTGTTAGGCCTCAATAGTTGAATGAGCATGTTGGTCCCTAAACTATGATCTCCTAAAGATATAATGGTTTATCCTTAGCAGAGGCTAAGCTCGTGGATATAGCAAACAGGGCCTTTTTGGTTACAGCCACCATTGGTTGAACCTTCTCCCCAAAGTCAGCTTAGCTTCAAGTTTCAGCAAGTTGACCAAACCATCTTCTTCCTCAAGTTCATATATATGGGTCGTGACCAGCAATACTTGGTCCTACCAGTCTTGAAATTAAATCTACCTCTCAGATCAGTGGGACAGATTTAATTTCTCTATAAATCAATCCAAAAGATATAAAAGCAGAAAAGATCTGAGCTCACTAAATTATCTAGGGAAATGAAAAAAAATTGAACAGGTTTATGTTTAAAAAATGGGGAGGAAAACAAGATTTAGTTTCAAGAAGCAACAATTCCAGCCTGTTGTTCAGATAACTGGGTTTCTTTTTTTCTACCCCTCTGATTTTAAAACTTCAAAGTTTTCTGTGCCCTGCTGGCCTCAAGATGGGGCCAGTTTCACTGAGACAATTAAAAATTCACCAAATGTTTAATACCAGGTTATGGTAGCTCAATAAGCAGTAAGTACTTGATTTGATTTATTCTATGCCTTCCAGAGTTTAAGAAGTGTGCAGGAAAGTGCTAATTATTTTTAAAGCTTTGTTTAAAACAATTAATGAGTTTATCTTTTGATTTAGCAAAGTAACAAGGGAGGAAAGAAATTGGCATACATGAACCTAAGGTGGCAGCCCCATTTATCACATAAAAGCACCTTTACTTTTGATAGAATGCGATGACATAATGAAGTAAAATAAAGTGACCTAACTACATTTGTGGAGTAAAGCACCCCACGGGTGATTTAAGTGTAGGCAACACCCCATTTTTTTCTAGTATCTTCTGGCCTTTTTTTAATAGCACACACTTCCTCGAATTCCGAACACAATTCCCAAATGTAGCTTTGGCACATCTGGGAATGGAGCAGATTGATGTAGGTTGGTCCAAGGGGATTTCAGCTTCCATGTGTACCATAAAAAAAAAAAGTTTTACAGGGGAGGTGGAGTTGTTACAAAGAGTACCAGGCACCACTTAATCTCATAATTCAGGTACAGGGGAACACTGACACGATCAAGCAGCGAAGCCCAAATTCTTCCAGCGTTCTTTCCGCTTGGCTGATCTAACACTGGGAGATGTTGACAACGCCCCCTTCCCCGATCTTTTCAAAGAACACCCCGAACTAGATGTGGGCCTCCGGGTCACAGGAATGCCCGGTTCTCTTCCCACGGGGGAGTATCTCTGAAGTCTGAGAAGGCAGCAGACACCCGAGACTGGCCAGGCTCACATTGCACAGCCTCGTCTCCTACATTTTCCACCGAAGTCTACTTTCGGCTTCTCCGCAAGCCCCGAGGCGAGGGCAAGCGCTACGCAACAGTGCGGCTGCCAGCAGGACTCACGCTCGGCTCTCACCCGGCGGAAACCACCCACAGCTTTCCCGGATCGGGGTGGCCGGGGTGGGGGGAGAAAGGGTCACAACAAAACTTGTTGCTTTCACTTGGGTTTCTCTCCCTCCGCGTCCTCCTCCCCCCTCTCCAGTCAACATGGCTTCTTTGCCTTTTAAATAGGAACGCAGTTTGTCGATCACAAACAGAAACCACCTTCTCCATATCGCACCAAGGGGATTGAAAGATCAAGAAGGGGGTTGGGACTTGGGGTTTTGCCATTCATCAACAAAAGGCGAAAACTTTTCATTCGCTCCTTCCTACTACTTCTAGGCGCACCTACTTGCCGTGCCAGATGTGCTTAGGAACACACACTAAACAGTTGTTAAACGTGCTTTCTTGGTTCTCCCCGTGAGGAATCCTCGCCTAACCCACTTAATTGTATAATTAGCCTAGTTTTCCTTTATTCCTCCCCCCCCCATACACACATCCAACAGAGATTTTGTGCTTTTTTCTTTTAACATAATGATTGGCAGAAATTCAATCGGGTGTAAGGTAGTTCCGCCGGCCACCGCAGTGCCACGTTCGAAAAACCTCACGCAAAGGCCGGGGGGCGGAGAGGAAACAACCCAAAGAAGTGAGCCCTGACCGGATTCGGTGATGGGAAGTCCTGGCCAGTTGAATTTCTGCCTTGCGCGTTTGCAGATCAACCTTTCGACCTCCTGCATCGGTAAGCTCCCACACCCCACTCCACCCCACCCCGGAATGAGACCTAGACTTTTACCCGCTGGGCAGCGTGATGGTTTTCCTCTCCATCCGCTTTCATGTCGTTCTGGTCCTGCCGGGTAGCCTCCTGCTCGCCGCTCCTTGCCTCGGGTTTCTCAGGCAGCCCGCGAATGAATTCTTCGCGGCATTGGAGGCCCAGCTTCTGCAGATGCTGGTCGGTCTCCGAGTCGACTACCAGCAAGCGCACCGACCCGGGCGAATTTCGGATGCGGTTCACTACTTGCTGGTGACTTTCCTTCTCTACGTTGTCTCCGTTCACTTCTATCAAGCGGTCGCCAGCCTTCAGACCGGATTGCTCGGCCGGGGAGTCGGGCTCCACCAACCGGATGAACTGGCCCGTTTTGCTCTTCTCCCCGTGTAGATGGAAGCCGTAACCGTTCGGCCCCTTTTCTGGGCAGCACAATCGAGGCAAGAGCCGCAGTTCGTTCCCTCCCCCGTTGTCCATACTTCGTCCTTCGATGGATCAAATGTCCCAAGAACCTCAAACAGGAAGCGAAAGCGTTCCGAGTTACTTGAAGGATGCCAAAAGTCTTTGGAAGCGAGTAACTTCGAAGGGACCAGCTTAGCCCGAAGCACTCCGGCAGTCCCGCTTCGGAGCGGTAGCAGGTGTTTCCCAGGGCGGGCCCGGAACGATTTGAGAGCAACCGGATCCCCGATTGCGAATATATTAAGAAGCCTCTTGCTCCGCCAATCACAACATTCATCGGCGTCTGGGCGTTCCAGAATATCATTGACATTTTATCAAGAGGGGCGGGGCACTCTGACGACTGATGTCGCCGGACCAATGATATTCGAGAGAAAGGAGTTGCAAGGCCCTTAAGCACGCCTCTCGAAGGCGAAGGCAAATCGGAAATGAGAAGGGAGGCGGAAACATGCAAATAAGAAGCCCCGCCCCTTGTTCTTCATTGTATTTCTTTATTGGCCGCCCAGGTGGTACAAAAAATAATTCCCCCCCCCCCCCCCCCCAAAAAAAAAAAAACACCTTTCTTCCACGAAGCGCGGTTGCTGCTTGGAGTGTCTATACTATCTTAGAAGGTAAATATGAATTTTCTTTTATGAAAAACAGCTCTTTGGGGACGGAAAGTCACGATCGACTTCGATGGCATGTAAACCTCATTACGTTTAATGAAATAAAACAAACTTCCCAGTTAATTGAGGACACAAATTAAGCACGGGGCGGCCTCACAATGTGTATCTACTTAACCTGGGAAAGAAAAGAACAAGGAACTGGACGACGGAAATGACTTTCGGCCACCCCAAATCGAACACCCATCGCTGAAAAAAGTCTGTTGCCACCTGTTTTGGGAGCTCCGTCATGGGGAATCAAACGTGTTTTGTCCTAAACAGATACAGACATCTGCATGCCACAAACACCTTCCGGTACCTTAAATGACACTCCCACAACACGTCCAGGAGATAAAACCTTATGAGACAAAATGGATCTTATTCAGTCCAAAGCTTGGTAAGAGACCATCTGAGCTAATGTTTCCACTAAGGTAAATGGAAAGGTAGTTCGAGTCTCTGAGTCACAAATGTAACATATCTGTATGGGATCTCTTGCTCGCTGGTGTTTTGTTCAGAACTCCAGTGTTCTTTTCATATATTTTATGTATTTTTTGGGTGCCTTGGGATCAGTATTGTCTTTGGCAATTGCCAAAGGCAAGTCTCTGCAGTTTTCTTGGCCAAGGTTTTCAGACATGGTTTGCCATCGCTTCCTTCCTAGAGCTAAGGGAAAGTGGCTGGCCTAAGGTCATCCAGCTGGCTTTGTGCCTAAGGCAGAACTAACACCCGGTCTCCCAGTTTCTAGTCAATACCTCTAGCGCTTCAGCAAACTGCCTCTGCGTCATATTTTAGCATATAATAAATACAGATACTCCTTGATTTCCATCCAGTCGTTTAATGACCGTTTAAAGTTATGGCAGTGCTGAAGAAAATAGACGTACAACCAGTCCCCCAAGTCACATCCATTGCAGCACCCCTGCAGTCTCATAATTGCAGGGCAGGCAGTCAGGTGCCCAGCTTATGATTATAACATCGCAGGGAGTTGCAGGTATGTGATCACATGGTTTTTTTTAACCTTCCCTGCCAGCTTCACCCAAGCAAAATCAATAGGGAAGTTGGCAGGGATTGCAAGTCACTCTGGTAAATCAATCCCACTTTTTCTCCCGTCCAAAGCACCTATCTGTACATGGCCTACATAGACCCTCTCCTAAATTTTGTGTAATCTGTGTTTGCCTTCCCAGCCCCTCAATCACATTCACTCATGACACCCCACCCCTGTCCCACAGCAACCCCAGCCTCTTTACCTGAGACTTTTGCCTCTTGCTTAATGACCACCTCAGGCATACAGCAGCAACTAGGACTGCTAAGATGGTTGCCACTAAGTAATACAGTCATGTGACAAGTTGCTTCATGACCGCATTGTTTAACAATGGCAGTCCTGGTCCCAGTTACTAAACCCAATTATTCCATGTATAAAATACCCATCAAGGTGTTGGACTAGGTAAATAAACCCATATTTAACTGCTTTCTCAGCCATGGAAGTTCTCTAGGTGCCTTTGGACCAGACAATTTTTTTCAACCCAACTTATCTCACAAGGTTTTTGTGAGGAAAAATTGGAGGAAGGACTCCCCCTTGTATACAACCTAGAAATCCTGGAAGGAAGATGGACTGTAATAAATAATATTTTCATCTACATTCCTGAGCAAAGCATTAGAGAAGGCCTGCCTTCTGTTCGCCTTATCCATCTCAGCTTCTCCTTTCTGATCCCCAGCTAATAGCTCTTGGGCATGCAACCTCTTTTTTATTTTAAAGTCCAATCCTATTATAACATGGCAATAATTTGGAGACCAAGAATGGATTGTTCTTGGGGAACCCGAAACTTGGTTTCTAGTTTCCTCTTGCTGGTTGAATGCTAAATGACTTAAGGTCTTCTTAAGAGCCTGCATCTCCTGCTAAGAAATTGGGGTAGACAAGGAGCTGATCCTTTGTTGACAAGGTAAGAGACATTTTCTCAGGCTGCAAAATACAGTTGTGTTTGATCCCTACTCTTTAGGAAATTCATAAAGCCACATCTTTCCTTTGAGGGGAAATCCTTAAAGCCACATCTCTCCTTTGATCTACCTGTTTGACTTTTTATTATGTTGTTTTAAGTTTTGTTATTTGGCATGACTTTCATCAGAGTAGAAAGAGAGAGCACAAATCTGACATACACATACATTCATGGGAATTTCTCAGAGATTGACCTCGTGACTTCCTAATCTCAGTCTAAGGATTTCCTGCAGCAGAGCTTTTTCTGATATCTGAATCTTACTCTGAGGCCAGTTCAGGGCCAGCAATGACCCTCACTGCTTCAAGTCACAGGATATTATATTGGAGCAATATTAGTACCTAGGAGGTGAGCTCAATCATCTAATTTCCCAAGAAACAGCAAAATTATATAGGAAAATACAATCTGTAAAGCAATCCTTTCTATATAGTATTCAAAACTAGAAAGTTTATAGCAATAGCTTAAACAGAAACTAAATTAAGTGTTTCTTGACTGATTAATTAGATAATTTACAGTAGATTGTATCTCTCTTCATTTCTGACCTCCCTCCCTTTTTTGTATATCATAAAAATAAAAAGGCTGGGCTGCATCTACACTTTTTGTGTTTCTTGAAACATCTGAGCCCATGCACCAATTAGATCTTCTGTACTAGCAGGAGTCAGTTTAAAAGAAATGGAACCAGTTAAATCAATCTGAGTCTTCCCTACCTCTCCAGGAAACTATCCTGTCCTCTAGCCCCTTCATAGACTTGACATTCCCTGTTCACCCAGAACTGAACAGTTCTGCAGAGGAAAGCTGAGTTGCTAGTGGCTATGAGCGTAGGAGCATTGCATCTGGACCACAACAATCAATGTGATCCCTAAGTCAGGGTCAAGAGTGTGGTGATTTTTGTCTCTTTGTTTCCTTCTAGTGGAAGTCTGGATGGTTGCAGAAATTCCAGAAAGCCCAGAAATTCATGGGAATTTCCCTAAGTCTGGTTGAGAACTTTCCATCTTTGGGCCTTCAGTTCTTGCAGCATGGGAAGAAGTAACAATATCCTTCCCGTCTGTCTGTCTGTCTGTCTGTCTGTCTGTCTGTCTGTCATCTATGTCTATCAACTAATATCCATCTATCATTTATCATCTATCATCTCTATCTATCTGTCTATCTATCTATCTATCTATCTATCTATCTATCTATCTATCAACTGCCCATCTTCCTCAGAGTTGTTCTACTTCAGCCCCTTCTCTTGGTTCTGTCTGGCGGAGTGGTCTGCTCCCTTAGTTTGCCCTTGAAATAGTTCAATGGAGTGACAGCATATTTTTTGCCCCATACTTACATTGTTTTTCAACTTCCTTGCTCAAACTAGTATAAAGTGTTTGAAAGTCTGCTATTCTGTTCTAGTCCTGAGAGCTTAGGCTTTGAAATATCTGAACGGTTTCAGTTTTACTTGTGAAGATGTCTTGGTTTATGAGCGTTCTTCTTTACCCAATTCTGTCTGGCAGGTGATGCTGCAGGAAATGAGGTCGGTGTATGTCGGGTTCCCTGGTGTTCACCCTTAAATCCATTCCATCTCATTAGCACATCAGTCTGCAAATCTTTCTGTTGGAAAGGAGCTAAGTTGATACTAATGCTGTTACTTTACTTCTGTATTGTATTGTTCTTCCCTCACCCCAAGTAGGTTACATGAGAAAAAAAGATTAAAAACAACTAAAATGTGCAATAGTTAAAATTAATAACACCACACTGTTCCCTTTCAGAGGAAGAAAAAGAAAGGAGAGGGAAATAATAAACTAAAGAAATTAAAGACATGAGGTAAAAAAAAGTGGGAAACATGCCTAAAAGTCATAATGGGATTAGGCAGCTTTGAATTTAACAAAAGCAAGCAAGCAATAAATAAATAAATAAATTTAATGTACACCAACAGTATTCACTAAATCTCCCCATATCTTTTATGTTTGCAAATTGTTCTGGCTTCCATTATGTCCATACGTTGCTTCATATATTGTGTTTTGTTCCTTAAACGTCTCACCTCTCTCTTTTTCGGGACCTCACCCACACATTACGTATCTGTTTTGCTCTTAACCCACTCTTTTCCCCCACATACTTGTTTTGAAATGAGTTTCTCCTTTGTTCTCTTAATTGCTTTGGGAGCGGGAAAAGTTGTTAAACCAGTGCATTGTCTGCCTTAACAGACATGTTGACTGAGGGAACATCTCTATTTTGTTGAGTTCTCATCAGAAATCTCTGGATATAGGATCAATTCTCCCTCCTACCCCCCATCCCCCCACCCAAAAAAAATCTGCCTCAGTGGTGATCAGCAATTCTCCTGTACTGATACACAGAAATTTCCTGTAATGAAAGAAATGAAATTCCTTTGTAGCTGTTTGATTTGGATCTTCCGTAATGATTTAAATGGGCCTTTGTTGTGTTGTCTGTTTGCATCAGTCAGTGGCATCCACTCACCTGATCTGAAGGTGCTTTCAGGGCCTTTGTACTGCTATCCATTCCAATTGGTAATTCAGCAGTGTTGACTCATAAGGAATCTACATTCTTTGCCCTGCCTTGCCCTGCTTGAAGGTAAGCTCCCTACCCATAAGCTGGACTAATCTGATTTCCAGATGGCTCTTTTAAATCAAGTGCTTCTTGTCTGGATTACATCAAAA